ATGGATATATAGCTACTTTCTCTTAGTTCAATGAGAAGAAAGTTTTGAACTAATAGTGTTTAGACAAGATATCATGTCTGTATCTTGTTGTATAAATAACTACAATGAAGAAAATATGTATTAATTATTATAGCTCTTACTGACATGTTTGAAACGGTCTCATTACTACTTCTTTCTCAATAAAATCAACATAAAAAACAAGATAGGATAGATATACAACTACTTCCTCTTAGTTCAATGAGAAGAAAGGTTTGTACTAATATTGTTAGGACAAGATATCATGTCTGCATCTTGTCCTCTGAGTCACTACTATGAAGACAATAATATGCAATGTATTAATTATTATAACTATCCTACTAACCTGTTTTGAAACTGTTTCATTGCTATTTTATCTTTTTTCTCATTAAAATGAATAAAAAATTTAAATATATATTATTTTTAATTTTAGTTTTTAGAATAGAATTCTAAATTATATTTTTATAATTTCTAAATATAGTTTCTATTTCTTTTATTTATATTTTTGAGAAACACTGTCCTTGTGCCTTCCACTGCTTCTTAAAGCAGGGCTCTGTTCTTTGAAAATGTTATGATGGTTGCCTTGAAGTTTTTGGCTGACTTGGTCTGATTTCAGCCTCTCAGAGCCAGCTTGCGTTGCCGGATTTTTCCTGTTCATGCATCAACTTACCTGTTTCTTTCTTTGTGCATCTCATCATTTTTGCTGAAAACTGTACATTGCACGTGGCAGTTACAGCAACCTTATATACTGCTCTCCACCCACAGAGCTCCACATTTTTGTTGTTTGCGTATTCGTTTGCTATTTAGTTTGTCTATTTCAATAAAGCCTGTTTCCCATAGAATGTGTAGTTTCAGTTATTCCTCAGAACGTATACCTCAGGCATGTGCATCAGCATTTAGGATGATGGAGGTTTTGCCAGGGCCCCCTTTGTGCCACAGGGCTCTGTGTAGCTGTCCCTTTGTGTGATTGCCTCTTGCAAATAAACTATTTCCCTTGTTGCTCCTGAGGAATTGTTAGCCTCCTCTTAATTGCCTAAAAGTACTACCTTCACTATTTTTTTTTATAGTTTATTTAGTATTGAATTTGACTTCAGTCTGCTCCAAAGGAGATTAGTTCTTTTGGGGCCCTGCCTCTACTCCTGTGCAAAACTTCTGCTGTTGTTCCAGAAGTGAAGATAGACACAGTGGCCTATTTCTCTCACTCTGACACCTCCAACTTGACCCCTTGTGTCTTTCTGGTTCTCCCCTCTAAGCCAGGGAGCTGGAGTCAGGGGTGACAGGGGCCCTGTCCTCTGAACCTGCCACATCTGGAACCTGCTTCATCCTGTTACATCTGGAATAGCACCCATAAGTAGAACATGGGGAGAGAACTCAGGGCTTGATGAGTGTTCTTGGCTAGGAGAAAGCTTCCGCCGCACTGACCTGATGAGGATGAGAGACGCCGATGCTCTGAGCCTCCTGTGCAGATTCTCCCAAGAGGTGCGGAGCCCCGCTGCATCTGCCGGCTCCATCACGCTGCTGGAGGGCTGGGAGAAGGAGGAGAGAGTGTAGCGGCTGCTGTTATAGGTGTTTGGAAGACTTCCTTTTTTCTTTTTTTAAATCCAATTTCAGTATTGTCTTCTATACAAATGCTGCTCAGTTTGTTGTACATTTTTGTTTACTTTCCAGATTTCTGAGATGGTGGTTTTTTAAATAATTTAACCCAGTTGTTTTATAGGGAAAAACATACCAATAAAAACATATTCCATCTTTCCATCCACAAACATCTGGTTTTGTATTTATAATATCCATGAGAGCGGACAAAGTATTTATTAATATTTTGTGAAGAAAATGTAAGAACAAATCATAGGCTATGTCTGCTCTTGTTCTCTTTCCCCAGTGCTTTGATTGCCCCAAATCCTAGCTTATTTTATGGCTGTTTCACTGGAGAGTCCCAATTAACATGGTTCTTGCTAGCAGGAACAGGAAGCAAATGGGCAAGAGCAGTCCCTTATCTTCTTCCTTCCGCCTTCAAGCTGTCTACAGTGGTTCTTTTATTTTCCCCCCTTGGTGGAACTGGGAATTGAACTCAGGCCCTTGTGCTTGCCAGGCAAGCGCTTATTCTACTGAGCTATCTCCCCAGCCCCTTACAGTGCTTCTTAATGGCAGATCCCAATGAAAACCTAGCTGAGGTGCACAGCGTCCTGGCCCTGGAATCATAAAGCTAAATATAGAAAAGTCACCTGGAGTTGAGAAACACTCACTTAATATTAAGAACGCTGGCTCCCTGCCCGGTGTTACATGCACTGTATTTCTGTGGACACTGCTGAATATCCGTCTCCCTAGCCAAGGCGGGGATTCCTTCTTTGTGTGCTGATAGAGCCCCAACCTCCTTTTTATCACATCATTCATTATTATTTTTGTAGCTGTGTATTTGTGCATGTATTGTATTTCCAAAATCAAGAACTTTCGTGTAACCTGTGTATTAGTTACAGGTATCTGATTTGAAACATTTATTGTCTCACAGTTTGTGTGACTGAGAATTCTGGGTTGGCTTAGCTGCCCTGGGTGGCTGCGGCTCAGGGTCCATAATGGACTTGCTTTCAAAATGGTACCTGGAGACGCACTCATCCTCTGAAGGCTTGACTGAAGCTAGAAGAGCCACCCTGAAACAGTGCACTCATGCAGCTGCGGTCAGGGGGCCTCAGTTCTTAGTTATTGGCCGTAGACCTCTGTGTCTCACCATATGGAGCTCTGCTTGGACTGCTTGGTTGTCTTCACTATGTGGCAACTAGCTTCCCCCGAACAAGCAATCCAAGAGAAAGAGCAGCAAGGAAAATATAAAGATGGGCTAATACACCAGCTAATGTACCTACTGTACTGACTAATGAATGCACCAACATATATTGGAAGCAAGTCAAGCCAAGCTCTGTTCAAGAGGAGGGGAACTAGGCTCCACATCATGGAAGGAAGAATGTGAGAGAATGTACAGACATATTTTGCATGTTTTAATTAATGAGTGATCTGACTAAATTAACATTTAGATCTATATTACATCATAATTAAGCTTCAAGTTAGTATTTTAGAAGAAATATATGTAATAATTACTTATAACCATATTTATTAAAATACCCTTAGTGTTTTTACTCTGATTAGTGTCTTTACACTAGTTCTGTTTCCTGATTTATAAAGTGAAAAGAATGAATTAGAAAAGTTAAGAAAGTTGTACATGTTCTAGAAAAGAAAAAGAGGTTCCTTCATTCTCTGTCAACCAGGATGTAGACTTTCATACAAATTGCATTGGATACTTAGATAAGTCATTGAACCATATGGCTGTCATGGTTCAAGTAAATCAATACTGAACAAGCTAATAGACGCACAATAAAGTTTTATTAAATGGATGAAAGAATAAATAGGGATACATTCTGAAGGTGAGAACTTCTTTGTTCTTTAATATTAAACTCTGTAAGTTTCTGAGCACTGTGGGTGCGGATATGATATTGTGTAGGTGTGTTTTATGTGTATATAGAGGTGTGTACAGTATTTCCTTTGGTAATTCTGCTCATTATAATTAAAATAAGAACTTAATTCAAGGCCTATAATTACAAAGAATACACAAATATACTAAGAGAATTTGAGACAAGCTGATACTGTAAGCTTATAAAAGTTTATTATATGCATACACCAGTGATTTGAGTTTCTTAGGCTTTCATAAATCATGTATTGAAACAACGCCTGTTTTCTCTCAGGTGGAGAGCCAAAGTACAGAGTGATTATATGATTTAAGGACGTATAGCTTATTGAACAAAAGAGTCATGACAGAACATGTCTTTTGACCACCAGTCCAGTGAATTTCAGTTATACCATTCTACCATTTCTAAAGGAAAAGAGGGGAGAAAAAGAAATATCGTTTATTTAAAAATTGATGGGTAAAATTGTCTTAAAACAAATTATGGCCTGACATGGTGGCATATGCCTGCACTTCCAGCAGTCTGGGAAGCTGAGGTAAAAAGAACTCCGAGTTCAAGCCCAACCTGGGCAACTTAGCAACCTAGTAAGACCACGCTTCACAATTAAAAATCAAAATGAGAATGTTGTCTCAGTGTGAAGACTCTTGGTTCAGTTCTCAATACCAGACCCCCCCCCAAAAAAAAATCAAAAGTGATCTGGGTGTAACATTTTAAATTTTGAAAACAATCAAAGTGAGCTATTTCTAAGGTAAAAACTTTCCTCATTTCAAAATGAAGGGCAACTGCGGAGCCAGGAGACGTACATCCCAGAAGGCCTGAGCGCTGGCCACGGGCTAGAGAGGAATCCTGCCACGGTGGAAGTACAGCTGTGCACCCTGGAAGATGGTGATTAAAGAGGAATGAAACTGCACCCAGGGAGCAGATGTACAGGAGTCAGACAGGTAAAGAGGAGGACATGCGGCCCTGAGGAGGGCAACAGGCCCATAGGAAAGGGCAGAATGACAACCTGAAGGTGTGGGAAGTCTCAGGAGTCTATAAAACACACACTAGAATTAAGGAACCCTGAGTGCTAGCAAGTCTTTCATGAGGTGCAGGAGGGTATGGAAAGGTAGACGGCGGAATCAGGAAGCTGTGGATTCACCTCCTTCTCTTGCCACAAGCTCGGACTCTACTCACATAAAATGAAAATTCTAATTGTTATACAAAGCTGTGTCAGGGAGATAAACGTCTTAGGGCAGGCCAAGGTCTTAGAGCACTGGAAGTGCTCCATAGATGGTAGCTGTCTAAGTTACTTTCTTTGTTGCTGAGATAAAATATTTGACACCCAAATTTATTTTTTTTTTTACACCCAAATTTAAAACAAGAAAGGTTTATTCGGCTTACAGTTGTAGAGGTTTCAGTCCTTGGCTGACTCCAAGGCAGGGTGGCATGGCAGAGGGGCGTCATAGAGGAGAAATAGTCCATGGCAGGCAGAAAGCAGCGAGTAGCAAACAGCAAGTGAAAAGTGGTGACTCTCTTTCTGTCCCTTATATTCAATCCAGGCTACCTTATGGCTGGTAGCTCTTATACTGGGGTGGGGCAGGCTTAATCCTAAATCACACTATAAGTCAATCCCAACATTGCATCCTTGATCCCAGCATCACAGATCCCGGATCCAGGCACCTCTGAAAATCCCTACCTATAACCAAATAAGGCTTTGAGGGGCATCTAGACATAAGCCATAACAGCAGCTACAGTTAGTCAGAGCTGTGAGATGCAGGAATATCAGCTCCAAAGAGAAATTTCTAGCCTACGTGATCTCAACCTTTCTCTGACTCCCTGGCTTCTGGACTTGACTTTGCCACTGGACATTTGCCATCTAAACATTCTGTCTTTCTGAGGCCAGATTGTGAATTCTTTTCACATGCTGGACTGTCCTACGCCTACACTGACTGGTAATCAGTTCTGGTTGTCCAAGTTCTGTCCTATGGACACCTGATGTTAACAATGTGGGCTTCAGAGAAGTAGTTGAAGTGTTTTAAAAGATACAGATCTCTGTGCATACTTTGAGGCCTTGAGATTTTTCAAAATATCTACCATCTATCTATCTATCTATCTATCTATCTATCTATCTATCTACCAGTTTTTGAGATAGGGTTCTGTCTTGGTTACTTTTCTCTTATTACTGGGACCAAATACACAATGGCCAATATTAAGGAAGGAAAGGTTTATTTAGCTCACAGTTTGAAGGAGTTTCAGTCCATACTCAGCTGGCTCCAAGGTAGAGAGGCACCTGGCAGAGGACAACAGTTCACAGCAGCAGCAAATAGCAAAAGAGCAAGACCACAAAAACTAAAAAAAAAAAAGGGGGGGGATAAAAATGAAAGACCATTTTGTATCAATATATTCAAAATAAGATAGATATACAGCTGCATTCTCTTAATTCAATGAATAGAGAGATTTATTCTAATAGTGTTTGTGGACAGGATATCATGTCTGCATCTTGTGCAATGAATAACCACTAAGACAACAATATGCAATGTACTAATTATTGAAACTGTGCTAGTAATCGGTTTTGAAACTGTCTCATTGCTATTTGTTTCTCAATAAAATTATTTTTTAAAAAATAGAGGAGGAGGAGGAGGAGGAGGAGGAGGAGGGCTGGGGAGATAGCTCAGCAGTCTGAGCGTCTGCCTGACAAGCGCAAGGACCTGTGTTTGATCTCCAGGACCCCATGCCGTGCAAGCCCTGGAGACGCGCTGGCCCCTGAAACCGGCATGGTGCATGCTGGGGAGGCTGAGACAGGAGGATCACCATGAGTCTGAGCTGCATAGTGAGACCCTGTACAAAATAAGTAAATAAATAAATGATTTTTTTAGAAAGGAGGAGTAGTGGCAACAATGGCAGCAGCAGAGGCAGAAAGCAAGCCTCTCTCCCTTCCTTTTACTGCATCCAGGCTTTCTGTTCCTGGCTGGGTGGAGCACTCACACCCCAGCAGCTCTCACACGCATAAGCCCAGAAGCACTTTCACCCATAATCCAAGCATTGGATCAGGAATTAATCACAACCTCTAGAAACCAGCCTCCGAAACTGCATGAGGCTTTGGGGGGGACAGCTAGACACAAACCATAACAGGTTCATTGTGCAGTTCAGGTTGCCCTTGAACTCACTGTGTATTCCAGGCTGTCCTCAAACTCATGGTGATTC